CAGCCATAAACAAACAGCTATGTGTGAAATACTCTTCTAAGACTCAGAAACTGATTCTCCATGCAAGCAGAGCAAGCAAAAGCTATTAATATTCCTAGCAGAGATTCAGAATCCACTGCACTGCTCCACTGTCTACCACCTCCCACTGTGCTCCTTGCATTATTTTCACTTTTCTATATGCAACAACCAAGTGCAGAGATGGAAGAGCTCTCAGTTCCCATTTGTTGTCTCAGCATAAAGACAGCAAACCAAAGTTATCTGTATTTAAAAAAAAAAAATAATCTGTCAGTCTCTATGACTTTCCCTTTTCAGAGCTTTTGTAACAGCAGCTCTGAATCTCTGCTTTATTGTAGCAAACACAATGAAATTCTACTACTACAAAAAAAATCAGAAGTCAAGTTCCTCCCTTCATATACAAATAAGAAGCTAACTGAAGGTCAGGACATTCACAAGTTTTCTACCATCACCAAATTTGGGATATTACACCATGTTGGTTTCAAGTTCTCAAAATGCCTTACTCCTGTTTCATCTTCCTTGTTCATGCATACATCCAGTGTATGAGATTCCTGTTAATACCAAGCACTATTGCAAGATTATTTTCCAAGCAACATCATGAATTATTTTATCATCACAGATAAAATTTTTGCAAACATAAATGCTTGTTTGCATTCTTCTTTCAAGATCTAAGAGAATCTACTCAAGAGTAACACAGCAATGTAATACCCTCATTTTATTCTCAGAAAACAAAACCCACCTGCTGCAAACTTATTTCCATACTGGCACAAACTTAACAGAGTAGGTCCAGGTTCCTGAAAAACACTGCAGGATGATGCTCACACATGTGGGTGAGCACTTATATTCATCAGCATTTTAGAAAAGATGCTGAAATTTTTTTTTCATCCAGCATCATGGACATGATCAGATTTTTGGCACACATGGAAATAAATTGCCCAGCATTTTAACAGATATTAAGGGGGAAAGTGCCAGTGAAGTTGTAATCCAAGAAATTCGGGAAATAAATGCAAAAACTCTTCATTAACAATAAGCACCTTTTATTTACCATCTTAGCATTCAGCACTTGTTTCATTCAATCTCAATTGCTGAACCACAGCCCAGTTTAGCATTCAAATACAAGACAATGCAATTTGACTTGTACAAAAAGTGTTACACCTGGGTGGTACAGAACTCAAGTTCTATTTAAAAAAGCCATAGACACAATTAATTGCTGCCTGTGATTTGAAAATTCAGCCTCATATATTTCCAAGTAAAAATTAACACATATCCTCCATATGATGCTATGCCTGTAAAAATGCCTACAAAAACCTGTTTGTTCAGAAGGCAGAGTGGTGGAAAGTATTTCCTATTTCAGCATTTAGCAAATGACATCACTTCACAGAAACTACTAGGCAGCAAAATATTTCAGGTGAATCTTACACATGAGAAGAACTCCTGACACCATGTAGTGTCCCAGTGATTTTGGTAGGCAAAACAGTTCAGCACAGCAACAAATTCTTGTAGCACAGACTAAAATTCGGCCACGTATCATTTGTTACAATATGTAATTCAATGCTCAGGAAATTTAAAACCCAAATACACATAGAAATCTAGTTGTCAGATACTGGTTATTCCCATTTTTTTTCCTGGCTGCTTTTACAGTCATATCTGTGTTATCAAGGGTATATGCTACTTCCTGGTGTTTAAAACCTCTTCAAAATTGATTAGTAACTTTCTGAGAAACAAGAAACATGTCATTTGTAAAGAATACATAAAATATTTTTTGCCATCTTCTTCTGACCTCGTTAAACTTCTGCTCAAGCCAATGAAATTTACCAGACCTATTTTGCTGCAAGAACATCAGTTTATATGCCAACATGTATATGTAGGCAAAATCATTTAATGTATCAGGTTAGCACGTGAGTGCAAATTAAATCTCTTCTGAAAGTCCTAGACACTACACAAGTGAAGTTTTTCAACAGTATCCAAGAAGAAATAAAAGTGAATCTCAGGAAACCGTAAGAAAAGCTAGTGAAGTAAGTCCTTCATTACACATGCAAAATGGCATTTCCTGGAAAGGCAAAAATGTGGTTATTTTCCTTTAAATTTCCTTTTCCTGCAGGATGGAAAGTTATTCCAACAAGAGAAAAAAAATCCATCACTATAACAAAACAGTGTTGTTTCCTCATGTCAGTTAGACTTCAGTTCTTTATCAGCACAAAGCATCTATATAAAGGCAGAGAAAGGGAATTCAGTTTGTAGCAGAAACTCACTTATATCTATGCACTGTCTTTTTCCCCCCACAAAATAAATCCAATGTGGGAAATAATCCTTTGAAACAAGGCCATCAAAACAAAACAAGGATAGTAAATAGAGCAGGAACACCCAAGAAAGGCGGGCATATGTTACTGAGGCAGCCTAGGGCATTGTTAGAGGAGATGAGGAGTTACACCTCTGTGTAACTTCCACATGGCTGAGATCCTGGGTTTCTAGTCTGCTTGGATCAGGAGGTTCTCAAAGCAGAAATAGGGATTTATTTTTTATCCCCCTTCCCTGCCTGTGTTTTTAAAGGCATCAAAGACATCCAGGATGCAGTGAACATTTCATAAGGCCAATACAGCTAAACATTTTGAAGAAAGCCTTGGGTTCCTCTTATGAAACAATTTAGACTCACAGCGGAATAGTTTACATGAGAAAGGCAACACACTTCACTCTTAAATCAAAGATTCTTGCTTGGATTCAAGCTCCACATTTCTTATTACATATAACACGACTAGATCCTCCAGCGACCTTTTTCCTGGATTTGCCATAACTTAGTTGAGAAAGCCTCAGTGTACATCCAAGTTACAGAGCCTTACTTTCCAAAATACTATGTGGTGACACAGTTGCTTACAGGTGAAGGCAGATTTCACACTAAAAGGAGTGTTATTAATTACTATGCAACTTTTTAATATTCTCTTCTCTGGAGAGAATTTATACATCCTTTCTAGGATGTAAAAGTTTCTGTAACCAGCATTGGGATAAGAAAAAATACAAGTCTTTTCACCCTTTTAATAAAAAGGAGAAAATCAAATAACACACTAAACCAGGTATAATCAACATTTCCCTCTTCCTTCATTGAGGTACTTAACATTTTGAATACTTCCAATTGTATAATCCACTAAATAAATCTACCAACTCTCTTGAGACATCAAATCATGTAACTCATAAATATTCTAAAAGAGTAAGACAATTAATCACAGTATACATCCAAAAAGTAAGGGGATACATTAATAAGCTATTTACGGTTCTAAATGAGCATAAATGATACGAACTGAAAATTAAAAAGCAATTAAAGGTACTCAACAGCTCTTGAAGTTTTATATCCCTGCAAAGCAGATATTTTTTTAGGGACTGAAATCAATGACATCAGTAACAAAGGGAAACAGAAGTGCAACTTAAATCTAATTCACAAATCAACCCGGCTAGGAATGCCAGGAGTATTTTTCCCATGACCAGTAAGTGTAGCTTTTCGAATGATTTATTTTTCTACAAGTGAACATTCAGGACACAGTAAGACAAGAAAAGCTCAAATTCTCTTTTATCGCCCTAACAACTGGGTGAACTTTGCAGCTAGTAAACTCAAGGTAACAAATCCCTTGAGAAAGGAAAGAGGAGGGTGGGGACATGATGTTCCTGAGGGATACAGGCTTAATAGCCTGAAACACCAAGGTCTTCCTTTCATTCATAGATAACTATCTCCTCTTAGCCACACATTGTCATTTGTGATAGTGAATATCACAATACCCACACAGGTCCTTGGCCTCTCCAAACTGCAATAACTAACTTGTTTTCAAGACAGACAACAAGTTCTCATTGTCATGTCTTGAGGCTGGAGCAGAATGGTGATTATTTTGTTTTACAGTGATACTCACAAAGAACAAAACAAAGAGAAAGGCTCAACTTCTATTTGGAAGACTCAAACATAGTTTTGAACTTTTCATTTGCAGGAACTTTTCATACCTGCTAAGCCAACACAGGTGTATGTGAACCATAGTGGAGCTTAAAAACAGTCACATTACCTAACAAAACAGCACCTGCTCTGAGCCTGATCACATTTGAAATGTTAAACAATCTTCTGTCATCTGTTTCCGAGGTATCACACCAACTCTCTGTGATCTAAAACAGAAGCTATTTTTTCAAATAGCCACCTAAATTAATAAGCTGAGAAAGAGCAGAAAATAAAAAAGCAGATGGTGACAATTGCTTCAAAAGAATCTTTAATAACATAGACATTGAAGTCCTGATTTTGTTACCCAAACTTTTTGGGTCACTGTCAAATCAACATTTCTTGCAGACCAGAAGCTACCCTCAGAGATCTTTACTGAAAAGACTGTAAAGGTGATGGTACTTAGTGACTCAGACATAAACCCCACAGTTCACGGATTCACCATTTGGCAAAACTCATCTTTAGGAAAGGGAACACACAGGATATTGTTATTACTGCATGACACCCTTGGTATTTTATAACTTCCACAGAAATACCAAGGAACAGTGCCCTAAAATTAATTTTACAGATGGAAATCAGCATTTTTGCAGAATTTGCCATAGCTGTAGGTAAACAGAATTAGCAACATTTGTTCTGAACAAAACAGCACATTCTGTTCCCCCTGCCCCCTCCTCAAAACAGAGGCAAAAATGCAGTTCCTTTTCTCATGGCAGCTTCCAGGCCAAGGACACTGAAGCTTTGTGGAGCGCGAATTCCTCCACGCACATGACGCACAGTCACACAATTGAGCAGAGCATCCGGCACAGATGCTCTGACCCAGTGCTCAGAGATTTCACTCCACATGCACTTTTCCCATGTACACTGAGAAGAAATGTAAGGTATTAAGCTGACTTAAGATACAAAACTATGTAATTTTAATGGCAACAAAACCAATAAGGTATCAGAAAAAAGAGAAAGAGATGGTTGAGATGAAACCTTCAGGAGGAACCGACACCAGACAAAACATTCTCAAACTCCTTTAAAGCTGTCGGACTCTTTTGTCAGTGTTCTTAATGTTGATATCCAGTGTCTCTACTTTTTTTGTGAGCCGATCCAGCATATCATCTTGCTCTTCTATTTCAGTCTGCAGCCCAAGAGCTAGGTTTTTCAGACGACTCAACCCAGAAGACATCTCATCTGTTGAGGAAGAGAGAGACCAAAAGGAATCCAAGTGGTATAACACACTGTTTAAACGGACACTCTCAGGATTCCCTCTTTTCCAAAACACTGGGTCAGAAAATGCTACTTACAGCTCCTCAAGTCTGTGTTCCTCTGCAGTACAGAAGCATCAATATGTTAATAGCTGTACTGCAATACTGCCAGAAGTGATCACTTCCTGCTTTCTTCCATTACAGGTTAACTGCAAATGCTTAACACCGAATTGGATTTTTATCAAGTGACATACCCTGTTATGCAGTTTTTACTTTTCTTCTTAAAAAACGATTTTATAGAAAATCAGCTACATCTTTTTTCAGCTCAGCACACATAATGTGCTCACTACCTCAACTGTTTTTCTTTAAACTCCATGCAGAGATATGCTCAATATGCTGACAATTTCAGCAGCTATTTATCATAGACGAAAAACTCCCATCTCCAGATTTTCTAATTTGGCTACTTTATTGGAAGATTGATTGGTATAAATGCTTCTGAGATTAGCAAGTTTTCCACGTCTTGTGAGTAGAACAAATGTGCTTCCACTAACTCTTATACCTGACAATTTCTCTTTGATCTATTCCTTTCTGATTTCTTTTCAATATCTTCTTTCTAGCTCAGCTACACAGTGACACACGTAAGCAAAGAGGCACTTTGCCTATATGCTACAAGCACAGGATGGCAAAGTCAGCTGAATGGTTTGGGGAAGCAAGAAAAGAAATGCAGCAAATGCACAGATTAAATATTTAGTGCATTTTGATTCTTCTGGTTTTGGAAAAACATGTTTATCTCAAAAGCTGTGCACAGGTTTAAATTATTTGGGTCCAAACTGTTCTACAATTTAATATCTGAGTTTAAGTGTCAGTTCAGCAAGTTGAATGCACCGTTCAATGTAAGTGGTAAGCTTTAGGAAAAGCAGCAGTAAATATCCACACAGGAATAGTCAGAATATCAGTTTGAAGCAGTATTTTCTTATGGATATTACTCATACCTGCCTGATAAGATTTTTCAGAATGCATGGATAAACCTCCTTGCCCCAGTGATATTCCAGTCAACTGAAACTGAAACCTTTTCACATCAGTGCAACTGTTATGGGATAGCTCAGCACCATCTCCACATTCAAATGACAGATTTGCTGGCATGTTCACAGCCATGTTCACATGTTCTCTTATTGTCAATATATGATCCAAGAGGACTTGGTTTGTGTGGATTTGGTTTTTTTCCCCCAGGTTGCTCAAGGATGGTTCAAAACCTAACAGCATCTCAAGCACAAGCACGTGGCAGAGGAGTTGAGTATTGATGCCAACAGCATATCACTCTCCACAGCAGATTTTATTATTCCAGACATCCTAGCTGGTTTTTGTTTAGCTTTAAATGCATTTCTAACTCAGATTTGTTATTAATATTTGCGAATAGTTTACCCACAGATATCCCCCAGCATTCTATGATTCAAATACTTTATGTTTCAATCAAATTTTGGATTCTGACATGTAGGTAGTTTTGAAACGCAGAATGGAAACAAACGATTTTTTAATGTACCATCAAATTTTACATGTTAACTAAACAAAAAGTGTTTGTTGGGAATATATTACTCCTGGCTCAGGAATCAAAAATTGCAAGTTGTGTTACATCAAACAGCTTCAGTTTTCTCACTCACCTAAGTTGTTATCAATTTTCTGGTGGTAAGCTCGCAGGTGCTGGTTCTTTGGATAAGAATCCCTTTGCACTGAAGAAACTAAGTCTGCTTTGCCAAAATCATCATCTGTTAAAAGCAGAGAATACAGAATGTTATATAATAAAAAAAATTAGTGAGATGAGGCTTGAAAGTTTCAGAAAAGCTAGTAAAAACTACCCTGAATACAGCTTCCATGTAATCCCATAACTGGACCATCAGAAGCAGTCCAGCAGCACTGTCTGTAGGGCACCCCTCCAGCTGATCAGCTAAGCTACAATTCTCCTTTCGTAGTTCTAGTGGGCAGCTGAGAGAGAACAGCCAACACCACCAGCAGCCCCAGCCCGAGGCGTGGGGCCTGGGCCTGTGCTTCCCTCTGCAGACCACAGCCGGGAATCGCACGCTGGAGCGGCGAACCCGTCCCCAAACACTCCACGCGGCCCCTTCACCCACACAGCTCCAGCCGCAGAACCCTCTGTCCTCCTGCTCTAGCTCCACTAATAACGGAACCCCACGGTAAAAAGGAGCAGTTACTTTGTACACAAACGCCATCACAGGAGTTAACGCACAGTGAGAAGGGGGAATAAGGCCAAACCCCGTTACTGCTGTGTGAGAATCAAGTGATGACTTCAGATCCAAGGGTTAGAGCCCATGTTTGAAATAACAAGAAAATGCATCTGAAAGCTATGACAATTTGCAGTTAAAATGAGAACCTCTGAGTATGCACATTCACATTTTGGCAAACCTGGGACTAGGCTGCCTGCACATTGTGTGCATTCTCTCCCTATGCAAACATAAGCCTGCATCCTTTTAAAGCTTTTATTGGATACAGCATAAATCCCCCACAGGAAGGGCTAAGTAAAATCTGTATCCAAGTTAAAATAAACAAATCACATCTTCAGCATGAGTATAAAGAGTTTTAGAGGACCACAAAGTCTGGAATACAAATCTCCAGATGTTAAGCAGCAACAAAAATCAGCAGCTGGGCAGGCTGAAGGGTCTCTGCCTTCACCACAGTGCAAGTTTGCCGCACATGGCTGACATGCAATCAGTGTAAAATAAAGTTAACAAACCTGAATTATCTAGCTTCCTCAAATTTGGATGACTTTCCTGGTATTTTGACTCTTGTTCTTTACTAGACACCATTGCTTCTTTTAGTCTATGAAAAAAAAGAGAATAAAAAGAAAACATTGCTATGGACCACAGGCCTCATTCTGAATCTGCTGAAGAAAAGGTATCAAATTTATAGAAGAGCAAATCTGTTAGACCTGATCCAAAATACTCCTTTAAAATGAACTATTAACTATCAGCGTTTGCCTCCAGTGAAAGCAGAACTGGTCACTTTAGTGCTCAAAACAGGAAATGAAAACTGCAATCAAAAGCAAAACTGCATCTTCCATCTTGGAGGCAAGCTATTCCCTTCCTCTGGTGAGGACAGAGGGGGAAGGGAAGGAGAAAATCAATCCATGCAGCATTATCGGACTTTACACAGGTTTCTCAGATGAAGAGAGACAAGTACTGTAATACACAGTCGTCATGATTTACTGTTAGGACTGACGTAAGCATAATAACACAGAGGACTCTGAAGAATAACTTGTGTCATTTTGTGTAATTGTAATAATTTCCCACAAATACAAAGTTATTCTTATCCCTAACCAATACATATAAAAATATTTTTTTCTCAGAGTTAACAGAACAAGGGAGCTAGACACCATCTCAGGAGTTCACTTGATAGAATCAACTTATCTTTTAAGTTCTGATTTTCTGGTGACATTTCAGAGATGCTGTGGGAGGTAAGTCCCAGGTAAAACATTTATTCCACTTACCTGCTGTTACCATAATATTCAGGGGCTCCATTCTGCTCTGGCTTGCTCTCTGGAGGTTTGGCTTTGAAGTAGTTGACCAAGCCCCCCCAAACACTCTTAATGCTATTTATATGCCTTTGACTTGTCTTCAAGTCCTGGTCCATTTTATCCACCATCTGCTCTGTGCGTTTCAGTGCCTCTCCCTGACGAACGAGCTCCTAAAAGGCATTGACGGAGAAAGAGCAGCTTGTGATGCCAAGATAAACCGAGACATCAAACACACTTAACGGACACTCTAAACAGCAGAGTTCCTTCATCTGTGCAGATTATTTCTGAAGGCAAACAACTTTTTCACTCGCTCCTCTTCCTCCAGGGCATTTCAATCAAGAGCTGCTAGTCAGCCACAGCATTACCCAGCTGCAAAATCCTCATCCCTGTGCCATCCCAGGCTCCTGACACCTACTACAAGCTACATCCAGGAGTTTTCCTTACTAGCCTTTTGTCAGATTGACATTTGCATCTCTTCTTGATGGAGGAAGCATGGCACCAGGTGGGTGATGGAGTGAAAATGCAAAGGTTTATGGCAGGGAAATGAGCAGGCAGAACCATTCCTAGTTGTGAACAGCACCTTCATTGGGAAGGGATTCTATTTTCACCTTACTGGGATGTTCCTGATAGTTTAGAAACAGAATAACCAAAGGAAATAAATGCAAATAGAATTTCTTCCAACTGCAGAAATTTTTTAGCTAATACAAACAGTGCAGTATTTAGCAACTGTTATGTATAGAAGTTCATTGTTAATTATACAGAATTGTAATACACATTATTATGAGATAGTACATCATTTATTACAGAAGTACAGACAAGTAATCCGAATACTAATTCTGGTAGGGAAGTTGCCTGCAGCTAACACTAGTGCAAACCAAAGAACTTCTGTTCATATTCTCTCCAAACTTTAGGAAATTCTAGTTGAATATTCATTGAGGGTTTTCTTTTCACTCAATAAAGCAGCAAACACACAGAACTGAAGTTTTACCCCAGGCCCTGTATCAATCCTAAATTCCTGTTTCCTCATTTGTGCTCTCCTGGACAAGCAAACCACAAGTCTGACAGTTCACAGAAGTGTCACCAAGCACAAGAACCGACTGCAGCTTGGGGATGCTCTGGGGTTAATTGAGGCAACCACATCCCTCGCACCCAAGGAATATCCCATTAGCAGGTGACACAGTAGACAAGACCTTTATGAGGGACATCCCCAAGTACAAACTGCTTTGAGCCAGGGCCAGAGGAATGGAGGAAATGATTAATCTGGGTGAAGTGAAGCACATCACAAACAACTAACAGCGCAGGTCCCGTGTGTGAGCGAGAGAACAGCTGAGAACTTTTCAGTCAAATAAAAAGGGGCATAAACACCATCATTAAGACTTGGTGAGAATTGTTACAAGCAGCTGAAAAGACAGGCGAGGTCCCAGTGTGTTATACAGAGAGGGTGTAACTGGGGGTTTTGCCTCCAAACCCACACCACCTCCACGAGGAGGGCCAGCCCGGAGGACACACGGGTGTGCTGCCTCGGGGACACTGACCGGTCCCAGACAGAGATATTTCGGATGACAGAGGGAGCACAAGACCCTCCTCCCGGCGGCCTAAGCCCCGCGGCCCCTCTGCCGGT